TCTTCTATAGGTTAAACTCTTTAGAATTCCGATAACTTTTTCTCAAACAATTACTAGATTAACTCCTAATTACTAACCTGAGATATCTCTAAATCATATTTAAGCATTAAAAGATCATTACGCTCTATGAAGTTTACCAAAACCTCACAAGTCGCGGTAACCTATCTCTAGCATTTGCTCAACCTATGGTTTTATAACCTTAGACCAACTAAGTATTATCTCTCGATCTCAACCTAGTTCATTAATTCATTCAATTCTTGGGCCTTTAAGAATCAAAAGCATTAAGTGCAATAATAAAACTTAGAAAGAATGCTTAATAAAGATTAACAAAAATATATCAACACATAATCATAGAGATTGGGCTACGTCTTAGCCCTAGAAAATATATTTAGTTCATAATCAACATGAAAGAAACAATCATTTTTATTAAAATAACAAACATGAGTTTAAGATAGAAATAAGAAGAACTTCTCTATATTTTGAATCAAAAGCTCCAGAAATTCTTTTACTTTGATCTTCTCTTGCTGTTAGCCTTCTCTAATTCTCTCCCATTCTCCCCTTAAAATTAGCCAAAGACTTATATTTTTACTCCTAGGGTATTAGGGTTATGTTTCCCCCTTTTCTATTTAGTTTAGAACCCCAAATTCCCAAAATACCCATCATAAAATAGATGCAAATTTTTCTAGAAAGCATGGCTATGTCATGGCATTATGCCAAGGCATTGATGGTTTTGCCCTAAAACTCTTAAATTATCTAAAATTTGTTGTGCCTCGGCATTATGTTGTGACATTGAAAAAATAGTGATTTTTGAGCATGATAACGTTCGAATTTGGCCAAGTGGTAAACATATGAAATGTAGCCCTTCAAATCATATTCCCAATGGTCTAAGAATCATCTCAATCCAAGGTCTAAAGATCAATTTATTGTTGAAACACCGAAGCATGTTCAAACTAGAGCGTAATCTAAATCTTTTTTTTTTTAACTTCAAAACTCCATATCTTCTTCAATTCAACTCTGATTCTTGATCAGCTTGATTCTACTCGTCACTCATTCCATTGCTGACATGATTTTCTGAGGATAACATTTAGCACTAATAACCTGAAAAACACTCAAACACACCCATGATCTCATAAAAGACAATTATGAAAATATTAAGCAAATTTACCAAATGAAGCCTAATTTCTGACAAATAATCCCTATATACCACTAAGTAAATGTGTGTTTTCAAGCTCTTATCATATAACCCTAATCTTAGTTTTTGTGTAGTTCTTTTGGATGACCAGATTTGTAACACCTGTCTTATACACCATGCTAGGATCCAGGTCAAGATCGCCCCATGTGTCGCTCCCACAAAAGATGACTTCACCAACTAGCTCTTCAGTATTAAGCATGACTATCCAAACTTAAGCATGGGGAGGCTTGACTCAGATCCGGATTACGAGGGACTATGCATGTAATCGACCCTATAACAACCACTCCCGACCACTGTTTGATAGTGTGTATAAAAGGGAGGAACTACCTCCATTTTGTATGATCGATTATTCACACAAGGACAGGAAACCACTTAAAGAGAGTTTTACGTCGTTTTAACATGTTTTATCCCTATAATTGCTCTCTATGTAAAACAAATACAAAGCAATAATATATCAGTGGGCATAGGCTTGGTTCTAACCTGTCGAACCACTTTAAAAACATTCTCTATTCACTTATTATCTTTTTACTAATATTTTCCTAACTGATTATTCTCAATCACGCAAACATTCTATCCAATCCCACCGTGGTCAACGGGATATCTTGGGTTGTTGCGTCTTTACATAACAACATTTTGACACTAGAAGAAGAGCAGAAAGAACATTTGGTGCAAGCCAGAAGGTGCCAGACGTGACAAGATAGTTTAAACTTGCACTAACTACAAGAGGTCGCAGCTAAAACCTCATTTGCCATACAGATCACAAGAGCAAAGTTTTTGAAGTCGGACTCCAACCTCCAAAAACTAGGGGGTTAATGTTGTACAGTTCTTTTGGATGACCAAATTTGTGCCACTTGTCCTTTACACCATGCCAAGATCCAACACTCAAGATCGCCCTATGTGTCGCTTTCATAGAAGATGACTTCACCAACTAGCTCATCAATATTAAGCATGGTTGTCTAGACTTAAGCATGGGAGGCCTGACTCAGATCCAAATTATGGGGGATTATGTGTGTAATTCACCCCGTAACAACCACTTCCAATCACTATGAGACAGTGTGCATAAAAAGGAGGAACTACCTTCGCTTTGGAGGATCAATTATTCACACAGGAATAGGAAACCACTTAAAGAGAGTTTTACCTCGTTTTAACGTGTTTTCTCCCTGTAATTGCTATGTGTGTAAAACAGATACAAATCAATAATATATCAATGGACGTAAGCTTAGTTCTAACCTGTCAAACCACTTTAAAAAATTTTTTTGTTCTCTTATCATCTTCTTACTAATATTTTCCTAGCTGATTATTCTAAATCACACAAACATCCTACCCAACTCGCCGTGGTCGATTGGGTATCTTTGATTGTTGCGTCTATTCGTAACAACATTAGTATTATCAAAATTGGTGATAAAATATTTATATAATATATTCTTTTCTTATAATTGTTGGAAGAATATGATGGGATCCAAAAGTTAAGCTCTGTTCGGAGAAAAAACATTATGGCCTGGTCGGTTCGATAAAGATTCTATTTGCCACCCAATAATAGACTATTTCTTGACTCATTAGCAGAAATGGACATAAATAAAAGTTAATTAATTTGTGAAGGAAGAAGAGTCAAATGAAATGTGCGGTGAATTGGGAAGCTCAAAACCAAAACCATGGCATTTATTGATACCCTTTCGGCAAAATTGTCAGCCCAATTTCATTGGTATTGGTTGAAATAATAAAGGTAGATATATTTAAGAGATATGGTCCCATTAGCAAAAACTTATTTGCCAAAAAATCTTTATCGAGTTATTAGATTCTCTACCAATAGCAATATCCCCACCATGGTGTCTAATTTCAGCTACCTATTCATCCGCTAGTATCCAATTTAGGTAGGGTAAAGCCTGGTGAAATCTACCGTTCAACCAATGTTATATAACTATGTTTCATCATCTGATAAAGATAGCATTAATTATTTACTTAATTATTACCTATAAAAAATTTCTTTTATTTTTCTTTGTGATTATTGTAATTGATGATTCTTGATTTCTTGAATTGAATATAACTTTATGTGTATAAGTTTACTTTTTTTTTGAAGTTAAAACACGCACCTCTTTTTTCTTTTATCCATCTTAATTAACCGGCTAACACTACGAACAAAAAATTTATTAGAATTTTTACATTGAGAACTATGAATTTTTATTTTAACCTCTTTTATCCACCTTAATTAACTGGCCAACATTAAAAACAAAAAATTTGTTATAAATTTTGCATTGAGAGCTATGAATTATTTTTTTTCAGTATTCATTACTGCCAGCTAATGTAAATGACTAGCATACAAGAATTTATATATATAAAAATATGCATCAATTTATATATATATATATAGAGAACATCTCTATAGTCATAATATTGTGATTAACTAAATTTATTACTATGAGTATGTTATAATTTAATAGAAGTGTAGTTACAATAATTATTTTTTTATTAAAAAAATTTCTTATTTTATAATTTATGTTTTAATAGTATTAAGATTTCAATTCATTGTTTTAGTAGCATTAAGATAATACAAAAATGGATATCAAAAGTTATTGCAGAATTGAGTGATCAGATTCGACAACTTCACTACACTAATCAAATGGATATTAATATGTTCCTCAATCATCCAAATGAGTAACAAGTCATGTATGCTTTAACTGAAAAAAAAAATTACTAAAATTAGACAAGAAGAGGAATGAGATAATCCTGAGAATGATAGTACGGAAATACCAAAAGTTTCGTGTTAAGAAGCTCTAAACATACTTAAGAAGCTAGAAATATTTTGGTTTCAATAAAAATGTGTCCATGTTGACGACTTATTATGAACCCGTAAGATAAAAGATGTGGTAATAACTCTATAGTATAAATTATTGTCAAACAACTTTAGATAAATATTTTATTTCATCTTAAATCTTTAATGTAATATAACATATATTTTTTGCAATATACATATAATTATTACTATACAGAAGCAAGTTCTTTAAGACGAGATCTAGAAAAATTATAACTTATTACAATGTGAAATTTATTCTTATTTATAATTGACCCAAGTTATGACTATATATGAAAAATGTTATCCTTACAAAGACCTATACAAAGAGGGTTACAAAGTGACATCATCAAGAAGAAAAAAACAAAGAAAAAACAGAAAGAGAGAGAGAGAGAGAGAGAGAGAAATCATGAAAATCAAGGGTGAAGATTGTCTTTGCATACCCCCTTTGTATGTGTCTTTGTAAAACTAGCATTGCTCATTATTTTATGATTACATGAAGGTTATTCCTGTATAGAGTATCACTATAAAGAGAGTATATAATTAAATGGTATGGTACCCACATGATATAAAGACTCTCTCATTAATTACACTTTTAAATTAATGGAAGTAAATGTGACATTAATGCCTCTAAGAAACATAAGAGATTATAATATATAGTCAATAGATTCATCTATTAAAAATGATATCATGATTTTGAGGTTTAGGTAAAATAAATGATATATTTTAATCTTTACTTAAACAAAGATGTCGATAAGGTGAAGTGTGGAACAAGCACATTACCCTTTTCATAATTCTACTTCTCAAAGAATACCTTTTTGCTTTTGTCTTCTTACCTTTCCTTTGTTCCTTGTCCAATCATTCACAGAATAAAAAAATAAAAGTATAATATAAAACAAACCTCCTAAATCTTGAAGCAAAGGCACTTTCTTTTGTCTTTTTGGTATCCTTTTTTTTTTTTTTTTTTTTTTAAAATCCAAATTTGTAAACTAATCTACACACGAACTCTCTCTTCACGTTTCATTCTTCTGCACTCTAAAACATTGTTCTTTTCTTCCTCCACCATATTTTAATAGGATGGTCTTGATGAAGCATTAATAATCTAATAAAAAATATGGAATTGAAAAGGAAAAATTCAGTTGCATATGTTATGCTTGTTTACAAGGTTAAATTTGGTATTAATTGATTTATAAGAAAGGAATTATTAAAGATTCTGTCAACTGGCTAGTTTTCAGACCTCTTCAAATAAACTCCTTCTTCTTGCCTATGGATTCTGTGTTATTTTAGCTTTCTTGATGCTGTAATAACCAGCATTCTTCATGGAACTCGTTTTTGGCAAATGGGTGTTTGCTTTTTCACTCTCTTGTTGGCTCATCTTCTCTGTAGCACTATCAGGTAACTTCAACTTTGTTTTATTGTTTCTCTTATATTCTTGATTTCTTGCTTATGTTTTGTAGTTTCTAAAAACTGATTCTTTGATTGTACTTGTTGATTAAAGTGGAGGGACTGCATGGAGATGCTAAAGTTAGAGGCGTGAATTTAGGAGGGTGGTTGGTTATAGAAGGTTGGATAAAGCCTTCTCTTTTTGATGGCATTCCTAACGGGGATATGCTTGTAAGTAAGCTTCTTATTTCAAGATGTTGAGATTTTGAATTATGGTGTTTTTTTTTTTTTTTCGCAGTGATTTTTTTCGCAAGTAATTTCATTATACCAAAATGCAGGATGGGACACAGGTCCAATTCAAGTCCGTCACATTGCAGAAGTATGTTTCTGCAGAGAACGGGGGTGGTATGGGTGTTTCAGTGGACAGAGATGTTGCCTTTTCATGGGAAACCTTCACTGTAAGATCCCCTACTAATTTGTTTGTCCTTTAAATTTTATTACTTGGAGTCTTCATATCTTTTTGGCGATTCAACTTGTTCATTTCTTCGAGCATTTTAAATTCATTGGTACACCATACTGATGCTATAATATTCGGTTCAATACTGCTGGCTTTCCACATGTAAAGTGTTTTAAATTTTTGCACAAGACTATGCAGCTAGTTTATTCAGTATACGACTCTTTTTTTTTTTTTTTTTGTCATTTTTGTTGTATTCTGGTTAGTTCAGACTCTTTAAGATGATGACTCTGTGTTGTCTTTCTGATGCTGTAATAGTACAAAGGAAAATAAATGCAATTAGTTTGTGGAAATTTGCTCTTGTTCGTAGTTTATTGATATTCTGATTATGCATTCTGATCTGGATATTGATTTGGGATGATAAAATTCCTTAGCTGCATCAGTATGAGATTCCAACTTCATGCAGTCTTCAATGGTGTGAAGTGAGTCTTGCTGATTGAGCATTACAATGTATATTTTTGATGTTGGATTAATTTAACAGTTGACAAGCCTGCATGAAACAGTGTCTACTTGCAAAACCATATTTAAAATGAAGCTAACATCATTGACTGTGCGTGAAAAGAACTTTACTATTTAAGAAAGGCTTTTGGACTGTCCAAGTCCTTGTTAGCAGGATTTGAATTAATTCATGTTTAATTAGAGAAACTGGCATTTGATATTTTTAGTTGTTAAAATAACAGGTCTGCTCTTATATTCTACATTTAGTTATTACTGTGTTTTCTCTTTAAAGCTAGAGTTAGTGAGACGTGTGCAATTGGATATTGATCAGATCATGTGTTTTCTCCAACATCATGGATGTGCATATCTTACTGCACTTTATTGTTTATATTTCATGGTACAGAAATATTTAGTGAACATGCTACAATCTCAGTAGAAAACATGAAGTATTGTTGCCTCTCTTTTATTTTTTTTTTCCATTTTTACTTAGCATGCAACCATACCCCATCCTTTCTCATTCGTGAACACAAATTAAATTGATCCCCTCCAGAACTGATAAGATGGAGATTTAATGCTTAGACCTCTCACTTTACTGTTAGAGATCTAATCAATTAAGAGATCACATAATTGGTAAGGTTGTTTGGTGATGGACCACTACTTAAGACTTAAATCAGTGTAACTCACCCTATCCTAGTAATTTATATTCTACACTAATTAAGTTTTCCCATATGTATTGTTGTTTGCTACATGACACTCCTGACATTGTGTGATAATATATTGTTAGCAATTTCAAGTTTTAGAATGGTACTTGTATTTAGAGATTGGTATATCATTATTTTTTTGCTCGGAATCAGTGTTATAGTGTAGTTTCTTCTCCTACAGTTATGGAGAGTTACAGAATCAGAATTTCAGTTCCGCACTTCTCAAGGACAGTTTCTATCATGTGATGGTGAAGGTTGCTCTCTGTCTGCAACCGCAAAATCACCTTCATCACCAGAAACATTTGTAATTGAAAGAAATAACAATGGTAGAGTCCACATCAAACTTACTGGTGGGACTTATCTGCAGGTATCATTTCTAACTTTTTCCTTCCTGTGTGTCTAGGAAGAGATCAAAAGTACCCACTTTGCAGTTTACACTGTCGATAGAAAGTAGAAATATAAACTCATAAAATATATGATACTATCCAATGTTTCAGAATCTCTGGCTGAATTACAATTTTGCTTTATATGCATTAAAAGATTTTGGTTGACTACTAAACATAGAGAAGCCAATCAAGGTCAAGATTCTACAAAAAGAAATGAGTTTTTAAGCTAATGCTTTTATTCGTATAATCATCAAAAATATTATTTGGGTTTATTTACTTTGTATCACATTGAAATTTGGGCATAATTTGGGAATTTCAAAGGCTTGGAGAAATTTCTATGACACAATTCTCCAAAAACATTCAACGTGCCAATCAGTTAGTGAATTTATCAGAACTGATTGGTTCTTACTGCACTTTCACCCATCAAATACTAGGATAAGCACTTTTTCACCCAATATGTCTGCAGTAGACCTAGTAATGATCAACTGAGATGGCCTTTGAGATTATCTCAGCATTGTATTTTGCCTTTTTGTTGAAGTTGAGGTTCTCAGTAAGGAAAAATCATAGAACGTACTTCATTCTTAGGCTACCTTAGCAAACCAGCTCACAGCAGACTATCCAGGGGTGCCAGGCTGGGATGCTAATGCTGCCACATTTGGAATGACAATTGTAGCCAATAACTTGCATGGAGATTACCAGCTTGCAAATGGATATGGACACAATCGGGCCAAAGAGGTTCTAAAGGTGACCCTACTCCCTAAGTACATCTTGAACTCTTTAAGCTAACATAATAGGTGATGGGTCCTTGTTAAGCATATATATAAGATTCATGCAAGCATTAAGCAAGGTTTTTTCTGTGGGAACATAATTGGTAATCGAATCATTTTATCAAAGTTTTTTTGTCTATCTCATTTCAGTTTCTGCAAATTGTCAGAATATGGTCTTTTAGTTTCAATACTTCTTTTAATATTACCTTTTTCAGTTGATGGATAGAAATTTTCCTCTTCATGAACTATGTAGCTAGATAATACAACCTCTTGGTTAATTTTTTATTAATTGAAGGCTTGCCATTTGTTAATACATCAGAATGACAGATCTTCTATACAGCTGAGCAGTTAAAAGTTTTTATGTTATTCCCTTGGGTAATCAAGAGTTCAAGTGTTCAAATTTCCCTTGGCGCCATCTATTTGGATTTTGTACCGCACAAGTTTCTAACTGCCAAGGTTGTAGTGTCTTGAAGTACCCCCTATTTAGACTCCAGTGAACACAGGACAAGTTGAGGATTTCTGCGTAAAAAAGAAAAATTTGCAATGCTTTAATAGCTTATTTATTTATTTTATTTAACTGCAGAGACATAGAAACAGTTTTATTACTATAGAAGATTTCAACTTCCTGTACAGACATGGAATAAATACTGTGAGGATTCCTGTTGGCTGGTGGATTGCTTATGATCCTGATCCTCCAGCTCCATTTATTGGGGGAACTTTGGAAGCTCTGGATAATGCATTCTCCTGGGCACAGTGGGTCTTGTTTTCATGTCATTCTGTTGATATTTACAGTCTCAAGCTACATCTTTATTTAACATGTACCTATAAATTTTGTGCTGCAGAGCGTATAGCATAATGTGCATAATAGACCTTCATGCTGCTCCTGGCTCCCAAAACGGGATGGAACATAGTGCTAGTAGAGACGGTTGGACAGACTGGCCTACTTCAGATCATGTCTCACAAACATTACATGTTATAGATTTCTTGGCTTCAAGGTATGCTTTGGTTGTGCTGTAAGGTTTTTGAATAGGTTCACATTTGTTGCAATGCACCTGCTTGAATGTTTCTCCATATTTCAACTGCTATAAATATTTGATGGGTGGTCACTAGGATGGAAAACATCTAATAGTGTTGAAAGTATTAATGTGAAGGTCAATACAGATCAGTACTGAAATGGTTTTTGCTGTCAGCTGTTGGCATTTTGAGGAGTTGAATTCTAAATATTTATCAGACCATTACCTTTACACACACGAATATATCTCCCCCTTGAGTTACAAAAGCCAAAAATGACATTGAACCTTATATACAAGTCTTTGACTGAACTTATTCTTTTGGATATGGAATTTACTGAGTCATTCTTACAATTATCTAAAGAAATATAAATGTCTTTAGATTACTTGGGGCAATTTAGCATGCTTGTGTCTTTAGGACACTCACCCATGTAGACCCCACAACAAGCAACCCCCAACACTTGGTCATTCATTCAATTATCCGAAGCAATATAACGCCCAACACAAACATCCCACTTATGTCTTTAATAGTGATGTTGGCCTACCCAATAGGTAGTCTCCTTCCAACTCCTAGCTATTATTTACCTGTTTTGTGTATAAAAAATGGTGTTGAAGATCTGCCTCCTTTCTAGCTAGAAGATCCATCCTTGGTTTTGCTGCTATTGGAGTTTAATGTTCATTTTACTAGCATTTGACATGTACTGTTCATCTTTTTTCTCATAATAGCTATCATGGATATAGCACTTTCATCAAATCAACTGTCAAAGGTGATAATCCCAAATATAAAATATGAAGTTTTATGGGTTGCCATATTTTCATGAAAGTGCTCATCAATGCCCTGAATTATGTATAGCCTGCTACACTGCACTCAATTTTAACATGTACAACAATGAACAAACTTATTGAAACCATGATGATAAGCAGGGACGTAACCACACTATAACATATAGGTTCAATTGAACCTATTCAAACTTTGGAAAAAAGATAAAAAAAAGGTTTTATATTTTATAATATTTACAATTTTGACCCCACTTAAATTTATATTGAACCCACTCAAACTTTAAAAAAAATAAAAAAAGACTTTATATTTTATAATATTTATAATTTTGACCCCACTTAAATTCATATTAACACCACAAAATTTTATTGTAAATTTATCAATTTAAATGTTTTGAATCCACTCACTATCCCTGAGTTTGATAAGTCTCTCATTTCTTTTCCTTTCTGATTATGTTAATGTCTTCTAAATGGATTCTTCTATGTTATTTCTTACCTCTGAATTTGATTTAAAAAACTTTCACTTCTTTCACTTATAGGTATGCAAAAAATCCTGCCTTCTTGGGAATTGAACTTTTGAACGAACCATCTGCAGCAACAGTTCCATTGGATATCTTAATCTCCTATTACAAACAAGGCTACCAAATTGTTCGGAAACACTCATCTACAGCTTATGTGATAATGTGCCAAAGAATTGGCAATGCAGATCCTTTGGAACTTTATCAGGCAAATATAGGCTCTCACAATATAGTTGTGGATCTTCATTACTACAATCTGTTTGACCTTTTCTTTGTTAATATGAGTGCCATGGATAATATCCAATTCATCTACAGAAGCAGGGAAGCTCAACTACAAGCCTTAAATAGCGTAAATGGTCCCCTTGTTTTTATTGGTAAATCATGTTTTTAAAATTTTTACCTCTATATCAATTTCATACCTAAGTAGAAATCAAAGTTATATATGTGGGTTGGGATCGACAACCATTTCTTTATACAAGGAATAATAAAAAATTTATATTCGAATCATGCACTTTCAACTGATGGAGATTATATTTAGCACATACACTTCCTATTGTGAATTAACTCTGATACATAATTGGTTTCCAGGGGAATGGGTGAATGAGTGGAATGTGACAAACGGCTCTCAGAAGGATTATCAAGACTTCGGGAGGGCTCAGTTAGAGGTTTACAATGCTGCTTCCTTTGGATGGTCGTACTGGACTCTCAAAAATGACAGACAACACTGGGATTTTGAATGGAACATTAGGAACCATTATCTCCAACTGGGTAATGTTTGAAACTCGTATTTAATCTATTAAGATTTTCTGAAATTCTGATAGTATATTACAGTTACATCCGTCCTATAGTCAATAATTTCCTCTTCTAAATAGCATGTGAACTACATTCATGCAGGTAATTCTCCAAAAACCCAAATTTTCAACACTATAGTGTTGCTTGGATTAGTGTGTACCTGGTTATATCTGCATCATATGTTGTGACCAACCGCACAAACGTTGTGGATGACCCAGAAATGTCGAGGGAGACATAAATGCGGCTTTTCTTAATTTTTTATTTTTTCAAATTTCTTTGCATCTCAACCACTACATTCATGTGCTTTTTACAAATCTGGAATTGCAGTAAAATTGTTAGAGCATAAACTATCCACAGAACATGTGAATGATCCTGTAAGAACTTGGGGGCTACCTCAGAAATATACAAATGAAAAATTCATTCTACTTTGAGCTTCTTGTGCACTCTTCTCGCATAATTTTATTCTCATCTAAAGCCAGTTTTTGTAAACCAAAATGTAAATTCTCTTGACCACCTGGCCAACTGTAAAATATCCTAAAAAAAGCAAAACCAAAAACCCAAAGTATGATAAAGGCAGGTCAGTAAATCCCATGATGTGTCCGATTGCAGTGAACGGAATTGCAATTCCGATTGCAGAAATTATGAGTGTAGAACAAAGTACAGGCCATGAGGCATTCTCCTGAATGAAGGGGATTTTCTCAGTCCGGATCATGTGTATAATCAATGTCTGCATGAGTAATCCTTCCACAAACCACGCAGAACGGAAGAATACGACATCCAGTTCTGCAGAATCTTTGTAATAGAACCAGAGGAAAATAAGCGCAGTTACATCACAGAGAGTACATACAGGACCATTCCATAAGATGAACATGGGTAAGCCTTTCTCAGACCATATCTGCGGAGTTTTCACATAATCTTCCTCCATATTGTCCCATGGAATAGCAATCTGACCCACACTATATAAGAAATTCTGTGTCAGGAGCTGTCTTGGAGTTAATGGTTCAATTTGCAGGAAAATGGTCGCAATCAGGAGTGAAAGAACACCTCCCACATTAGCAATAACTGACATTTTGATGTACTTCATGGTGTTACCAAAGGTTAGACGGCCCTGCTCAACTCCAGCAACGAGGACATTGAGATCCTTCTCAAGTAAAATAATGTCAGCGAAGTCTTTTGCAACTGATGCCCCTGAATCAACTGATATACCAACATGTGCAGCATCCAATGCAAGTGAATCATTTATACCATCTCCCAGGAACCCAACTACATGCTGACCGGTTGTCTGCAAGGACTGTACTACTCGGAGTTTCTGAGTTGGGGTTAGCCTAGCCAGTACCGTTGCTCTTTTAACAGTCTCGTGGAAGGATTCTTGGCTGAGTAGCTCAAGTTCTGGTCCTGTAGTTACATGCGTGGTTCTGATGCCAACCTCCTGGCAAATCTTTATTGCCAGGGAGGGTGAGTCACCTGTTAAAACTTTTGCTTTCACTCCCTTCTCAGCTAGCCGCCACAGAGCTTGCTTTGCTGTGTCCTTAGGAGGGTCAAAGAATGTTATAAGGCCTAGAAACACCATGTCCGACTCAACAGTATCCTCACCAGTGCTGTTTTGATCACTTTTTCGCTGCAAGAGGATATAAAACATTAATGTAAGGAAAGAAATGCAACATATTAGAGTAATTCTGCATCAATTTGCAGCTGAAACCAGATCCTCACTCTTCTAAAGTTCAGAGTCTTTGTAACAGGAGCTCCAACATACTGAGTTGGAAACTCCCCGGAGGCAGAGGTATTGACATAGAGAATGTGAATTAGCATGTTAATGCATGGTGAGTGCCAACATTTTACAGATACAAAATCATGCATATCTTTGTACAGAACAAGAAATAAAGTGAAGAACATAGTTGAGAATGAGAGAATTCTTTTAATTTTTTTTCTAATTTTTATATCAATCTATTTTTGTTTAATTTAATGCCGATTTTGATGTTTAAACCACTGAATTATGTATGCCTGAAGCACTTCGTTATCCATTTCAGATCATGAACTATAGTGAAGATTTTAGTAAGAGGTGATGCAAAATTTGGGATCTGATCCACCAAATGCCAGATATGTTAGTCTATTAGCAATAATTCAGATGGATCTTGAATGAGTTGGTAAGAAACAGTATAATTTGGCAATTGTATGGAAAGTTTAAATGAAAATTAATAACAGAGAATAAGATAATATAAGAGTCAAGGGTAAGATGCTGATTTGCACAAAGCGTGTAGTGTGTTTTACATATTTGCTTTCATTCTTTTGTTGTGCTAGTCAATCAAAATATGCTCAAGATTTAAGTCATGTACATTGGAGCTCTTGATGTCTGAAACAAAGCCATAATTGCCATGTAAACTGGAAGACCTAAAATATAAAACTAACCGAACTTGTAAACATACAAATATAGTATCAAAAAAATGAATAAACGGTGGACTCTGGAAAAAGATGGTTCAAGAAATCCAGACTTACATTATGTAGCGTCTTCATTGCAACTCCTATAACCCGTAATCCCTCATTGTTTGCTTCTTCCCCAGTATTCAATATCCTCTGTTGATCTTCTGGAGAGAGTATACTAATTGAACCATCATCAATATCCTCAACAAAAGAACAAACTTTGATTACTTCTTCTAATGCTCCTTTAGTTATCATGAATCTACGATGGAATTGGCTACTTCTGTCTTCTATATCTGACTCTGTTTCTAAGACGACTGATACTTTTCTTCGTATAAAATCAAAAGAGACCTCGTCTATCTTCTTCCACTGGGATGCTTGGAACCTGTATCCATTTGTATATACATATGCCAATATTGCATCATCCAGGGGATATTTCTGATCAGTCTTGAAGTAAGCATTCAAAAATGCAAAACGTAAAACCTTTTCTTTTGGTAATCCCCTGCCATCAAGATGATTTACCATGATTGCACGGTTCATGGTTAATGTACCAGTTTTGTCTATGCAAAGGATATCCCTGTTGACAAAGTAATAAAATAAGAATTATATCCTAACTTGCTCGATTTGACAATGAAAAAATTGATGAATCAATATATTTTGACAGTCGATGAAAATATGGTGATATGAAACATCCAGATTCACATCTTGACAGAAGTGAAGCACCGCAAGCTTTATGTACTTATTTAAAAAGTTGAATGATTCTATCATCATTTCTGCAGTTTTAAAAATGATACAGTATGCCGAAAGTCAAGTATCACATGTTTTGTTTCAACTATTTATTGTTGGTATTTGTGCATCTACTTTTTTGCAATAGCTGTTCAATCTAAATCGTGACATTATAGCATGCATTGCAAAATTTTATCAATGTTATGAAAATTTATATTTGTTATTTAGCCAAAGGAAAAGGTAGAGTCCTATTCAGCTTAGCTTAAAAACTCAATCTACTTCTTTCAAAAAAAATTTACTGCAGATACGTTCCATAATTCAAAAGCTTCAAAAACTTAATGGATATAATTATCTGCCTAAGATATTTCCGTACACCCCAGTTATCATGGTAACTTCCCATTGAAACCTTACAAAACACGAGAGAAATGCAAGAAGAATCACACCACACATAAAATTTCCAATCTCAAAAACTAACGACACTAGTCTCTCTCTTGTCCTTACGCTGACCAAGGGAATAATTTTATACATATAATGACTACTTTGCTAGTATATTCAAGTCATGGGATAGATATTTGTGTTTACATGTTGATGGCATTAATTTTCTACACAATATTGCAAAGTGAAGTGAACTTACATGGATCCCATGTCTCGTATGGCATTTAAACTTTTAACAACGCATCTGTCTCTAGCCATAGCAAGTGCTCCTTTTGCAAGACTTGTATTAACAATAAGGGGAAACATCTGAGGAGTGAGGGCACACGCAACAGAGATTCCAAAAAGAATACTCCCACTTAGATTATGAGATGTAAAATAATCAATCAATATTATGATTGTAGCTACCACTATCATAAAACAAATGAGCACAAAAGATATCCGGCGGACACCCTTCTCAAAGCCATCCGGTGGTTTCTGCTTCCCTATATTTGAAAACATGGTGCTCATATAAGTCTTGGATCCAGTGGAAACGACTAGGCCAGTTCCACTTCCTGATACAACATTTGTGCCCTGAAAAATCATTCAAAACCCATACATGTTACAGTATTTTACTTGGAGAAGACAAATTATTAGGGATATCATGGAAAGACTACCAAAAACTACCACAGAAACACAAGGAGACTAAATTAATGAGCTATAAATGCAAGGAAAAAGCCTTTTTTTTAAATGACATTTGGATTATGATTTGCTTCTCCAAATTTTCAAATTTGTAGCCCTAAGACATTCCTTAAAGAAACAATTTCGTAATGAATTGGTCTGCTTGCTAAAGTATCAAATTTGTATTCATATTAGAGAACACCATTCTACTTTCCATTATATCGTGTCATCCAGAAAATGGTGACATTCTCAGATTATAAGCAAAAAAGCTGAACAGATCCAAGTCTCTAACGTTGAGCAAGGTACAGTTAGAAATAAATTAAGCCAAAAAGGGAGTATAGCAATTGGTACTTTGGTAGGGGAATTAGTTAATCTAAAACCTAATGACTTCTTGTATTTAGTTTGAAAAGAGCTGAAGTGAACAAGAATGTTCTTATACAACATTCAGGTCTGACTTCTCCCAAATGCTAAAAGCAGCCTAAATATCTAACATATATTAAAGATTTAGTATCTTGTGACTACTGTATCTGGAACAAGGATTTGAGGAGGAATAAAAATGCATGGCTTTACACTCAAATTTATATTGGTATTGTATTTTTCCCAACAAAGCATAGTATTCGACAAATTGATCGTTCAGTCACACTTAAGTGCTATATATGGATCTTTTAAGAATTGTTCAATAGAGGGAATACTTAGAGGTTTCTACAGGTAAATTTTTTTTTTATATATATATATAGCAAATAGCTAGTTTAGGGACCACAGTTTGAATCACAAATCACAATGTCAAGATTGGGAAATGTTAACTAATACATTTATAGGAATTAGCTGCTTCCAGTAATGACTATTTTTTTCATTTCATCTTCTTGTTCTATCCACACTAATGGTCCTAGAATTTGTAGATAATTAAGCTGGAGCAAGTTTTAAATAATTGACCACCATCATCTTGTAATATTCTTTCAAGTTTTCCAAAGCGTGCCTCAAAGTTGGAGACTACTCTTGTGTCACTTAAAACTGATTAGTTAGGATTGTAAAATTAATAAACTAGAACAGACACATCTAAATAACTATGACCAAATCTCTA